CCCACTGTCTCAGTCTAGTTGGTTTCGGTTTTGGCCGGCGCTGGGATGAAGCATGCACGCTGCGTGTGTGAGCGCAAGGTGAGTGTTTTCATTCATCGTGTGCTCGTGTCTTGCGTCTGTTGTCAAAGCACATGGCTATGTGTTTACATTAGCCCCTTTCACACAGTGATACCGGTAAATATCCGGAAAATTTCCGGAACGACTTTACCGGTATATTGAAAAAAGCGATGTTCACACAGGCGAGGACGTTACGGAAATTTTCCGGAAAAGAGCATTCACACATCCATTCCAAAATACCGGTAAATTCTGACATCATTCACCACAAATGACCTCTAAACGGCTGCGCTTGTATTTGTAAACATTTGACTAAATTACAAACTCTGTGGATGATCAATATTGTGAACAACTTTCGCAAGATCACTTTCGCATGTCGAGATGTTCATAATATGTGCGTGTGCAGGCGCTCACAGGCTGTTTCACAGGCACACGCAAAGCTTGAAGGTAAACAAACAACGGCTTATCATAAGCATCTCATCGATGATTATTTACACAGTTGGCATTAAGAAGAACATATAAACGTGATCTGACTAACTTCTAGCAGCTAAATGTGTCTGGAAAAATATTCAAAGGCTTTTATTCTCACAAACCGCGCAGATGTAAATGCGTCTGACTGTTGTGATTGGCTAAAGCAGACGTCTCACGTCAGCACGTTCTAGACGTGCACGCGCTTATTACGGCAATCTTCCTTCTGTGTTCACACAGCGCAGCATTCCGGCAAATTGCCAGTAATGTTACAACTTCTCTTTCCGGAAAATAGCCAGAACGAATTTACCGGTATTTTCAAAAAGGACCTGTTCACACATACAACCTTTCCGGAAAATTGCCGGCAATTTTCCGGAAAGGTCTGTATGTGTGAAAGGGGCTAATGTGGTCACGTGCTTTTGTCGTGTGCTTCAGTGTTGTGCTTGTCCTGTCATGAACATGCGGTTAATGAGTTCTCTCATTGGCTGCATGTTCTTGTCCTGTTTTATGTGAGCGCATGGCTTGTCTTGTCTCTGTCATGCGCTCTCCCGTCTATTGTCTAGTCCCACCCTCCTTGTTAACTCATTATTAGTTTGTCATGTTCACCTGTTTGTGTCAATTTACTTTTGCTTTATAATCCCCTCATGTTTTCTGTTCTGTGCCAGTTCGTCGTCGATAGTTCCCTGTCCTGTTGTGTCCAGCCCTGCTTTGTCCTGCCAGTCCAGTCAAGTTTGTTTGTTCGTTTACTTGTTTTATTAGAGTTTTCCCCTTTGGGGTTGTTTGTTTTGCCTTTTTGTTTTATTTGTACTTTTATATTAATAAAACCCATTATTTTGTTGCAATTGAGTCCTCGCTCCTTTTCCCTAACCACGACCGTGACAAATACGTAAGTAACTGAAACTGCAAATCATCGAAATTCTGCTAGCTATGTCTCCATAATAGAGAACATTTCTATTGACCCCACTGCTAAAATGGCCAACTTCACCTTTTTCTCCTGCTGTATTTACAGCCTGGTACAAAGAATGATTTTGGTTCATATAGGTAATATTACCCTTCATGACAACTGTGAGAGGGGTGAATTTATTTAGAACTCATCTGTTTCGGTTATATTAAGTTATATTAAGTCTGCATAATTAAGGGGCGTGGCCACTTGAGTGACAGCTAGGTCTCGCGGGTCACTTTACCTCTGCTGATTCCGGCTGATTAGCCGCTGAGCTCGGCATATGCATCGTATATTTGTGTTGTTTAATGTGGCTTTACACTGTCAAATCCCTTTTGGAGTTATTTCCTACAATTATCAGATGATATGGCATGCTGTGAGCACTTAATTGTGCACACAAACCGTTCAAGCGGCCTCCATTTGGCAGGTAAGTGAAATTATATACTTATATACCATCTCTATAAATGTATTAATTTAATTTAAGATAATTTAATATTTATATTTTTTTTACACCTGTAAAGCACTCCAGAATCTGACAGATTTATAAGCTGTAGGCTTTAGAACAGTCATCTGAATCACCCAGTAGCGAATATGAAGGTCCACCTGCTTACTTTTCATCATGTTATTGAGACTCTCGTCAAACATGACCACAAACCCGTTGGCCTTATTGCCCTGGTCAGTCAGTTCTTTAGTTATAAAAGGAGCCAATCCGAATTTAGTAATATATGCTGTTTTGTTGCTTCCACACGGGAATGTAGAGAATGCAACCTCGGAGTCAGGAAACATGGTTTTGAAAACCTCTGTAATGTTCTCACTCGATGTGTAAGAGAAGTGCTCAGAGATTGTTTAAAGTACCCACATCACCTCTGCCGGCAGAGTTGGTGTTGAGTCACAGTAAGATAGGATGTTCCTTGATTTATAGTACACAGCATGTTGTTGCAGTGTTCACAGCGCTGATCCTATACTTCCAGGTTTCTTCGCACCACAGCCTCGCTTTCAAGTTTTAAAATGGTGGCTGTGTGAAATATGCATATAGCGCACGTGTTTGGACTGCGGGGGAAACCGGAGGACCTGGAGGAAACCCATGGCAACATCAGGATAACATGCAAACTCCAATAAGACTTGTGTTGTTTCAACTCATTTTATACAGTATAAGTACACTGGAAAAAAGCCTTATTGGATCAACTTAAATAAATCACTTCAATGTCTTTTTCCAAATTATTCATTATCGAAAACCATAATAAATTAAGTAGAAGCTAATTAATTCATGTAGTTGTAACAACTGCAGTAATGTGTTTAAGTTGCACTTTTTACAGTAATTGAACAAGCAGCAAAACTTTTAGAGTGCCTTTATATGTTTAAAAATAAGAGGAAATTTAGATTTCTCAGTTCATGACTCCTTTTCATCTAATTTAAGGACTCATTCAAGAGTAGCTTCGCGCTAAAAGTTAGAAGAAAAGCCTGTCTAGGCAAAATCAGGGCACCCCTGAGATCCTCCAAATTAAATTCAAGGCTTTTTAAGACCTTTTTTATACCATTTCAAAGGCAAATTTAATGTCAACTTCGTACCCATTCCGACAGAAGTATGAGGGGAAAATGTCAAATCTGTTTAAATTTTGAACACTAGAAAATAATCATGTACAAGTGGGCTACTTAAATTAAATAAACTATTTTATTTCAATTATCAGTTATATTTAATACAAATGCAACAGCGTGGTCGTCCACCCAGTAGCGAATATGAAGGTTCACCTGCTCACTTTTCATCATCTTATTGAGACTCGTCAAACATGACCACAAACCCGTTGGCCTTATTGCCCTGGTCAGTCAGTTCTCTAGTTATAAAAGGAGCCAATCCGAATTTAGTAATATATGCTGTTTTGTTGCTTCCACACGAGAATGTAGAGAATGCAACCTCGGACTCAGGAAACATGGTTTTGAAAACCTCTGTAATGTTCTCATTTGATGTAGGGCTCAGAGATTGTTTTAAGTACCCACATCACCTCTGCCCGCAGAGTTGTTGTTGAGCCACAGTATGATAGGATGTTCCTTGGCTGTGGTGGCAATGCTTTTAATATAGAAATGTCTTCATTACTGATAGCTAAAGCTGTTTCAGTAACCGAAGAGGTCTCCGGTGCACAGAACTGCACAATAGGTGGTTGGCACTGACGAGCAGTGCTACACACGGTGTGTTTGGCACCCCTCATAGGGGAGTCCAGGGGCATATCACCCATCGTCGCTAGCTTAAAAGATTTCCAGCACCAACAGCAGTAGGCGTCGTGGTCATTTCCTGGCACAGTAAAGGCAAAAATAAATGAATGAAATAAGACCTTTGTAACAAAATACAAAACTTTGTATACCAAATTCAAAGCTATTAAGACCGTAATTTAAGATTATCAAATTTAAGACTTTTTCAATGCTTTTAAGACCTGTGGGTACTCTGAAAATGCTGGCAGGCGTTTGTAGCTCCGCTCAAGCTCCGCCCCTTTGCCCTTACTTGGTATCCCTTGGTCGATGTGACGACGAATAAACACAATGTTGACAATTGGCCACGCCTACTTGCAGCTTCTTTTACATTCTTCAGAAACCTTTGGGTGACATCTCAGACACTACATCTGTATCTTTTACAGTCTATGCTTCACACTCATTTATAAGGGGTTTATAAAGCATAAATAGTCCTCACTTTACTTTAGATCACAAAACTGGATGAAGTTATAATATAGCGTTGAAGATAATAAAGCATTATTAAGATACAAAGGTAACTGTAATCATAGAAATGATCAATGGGATAAATGATACAATACTAAATTTAGTAATGAAAAATGAATAATTAACAAGGGCGGGTGGCTCAGTGATTAGCGCTGTCGCCTCACAGCAGGATGGTAGCTGGTTCAAGTGTCGCCTGAGCCAGTTGACATTTCGGTGTGGAGTTTGCATGTTCTCCCTATGTTCATTAATTTTCCTTCAGCTTAGTCTCTGATTTATCAGAGGCCGCCACAGTTGAATGAACCACCAATTATTTCAGCATATGTTTTACACAGCGGATGCCAGTACTGGGAAACACCCATACACACTCATTCGCACATGCACAAATACACTACAGCCAATTTAGCTTATTCATTTCCCCTATAGCACATGTGTTTAGACTATGGGGGAAACTGGAGCACCCGGAGGAAACTCACACCAACATGGGGAGAACATGCAAACTCCACACAGAAATGCCAACTGATCCAGCTGGGGCTCAAACCAGCGATCTTCTTGCTGTGAGGCCACAGTGCTAACCACTGAGCCACCGCACCACCCTTCCAATATCTTTTTTCAATATGGTGCAGCCCTAATATATAGATGACAAAAGTTTTTAAAAATAACACAACACCATCACAAAAAGAAACCAACATCAGCTTCACCAGACAGCTTCTGACAAACATCTACTCAAATGAACCCCTTTTCCCGCCAAACAAGAGAGAAAGTGCAAGCTGTCATGTGTTGTGCAGGCGTAGGGTTGAATCTGGATGGAAACCGAGGTTGCTTGTGATCTTACCGTGACATTAGGTAAGGTGGTGACGGCAACTCCATCCTCCAGGTAGTGTGTTTCTGTGTAATGACTAGCAAACAAGCCTCTGAAACACAAACACACACACAAAGACAAGTTTACTCCTCGTCAAGACTAAACTTCAACAATCCATCGATTTTGTGTGAATTATGAAGTTGCTGATCATTTTGGGAATTATTCATTCATTCATTTTCTTTTCGGCTTAGTCCCTTTATCAATCTGGGGTTGCCACAGCGGAATGAACCACCAACTTACCCAGCATATGCTTTACAAGCAGCCTTCCAGCTGTAACCCACACCTTGGAAACATCCGTACACACTCATTCACACACATAAACTATGGACAATTTACTTTACTTTATTGTCCAAGAGTGGAAATTCATCTTTGGCTTCACCACACAAACAGATCAACGTTCACATTACACACATCACAGAAAAAACAGGCATCACAAACACACTCATTGTTATCACATATAGCACATTAAAAAAAACAACATTTTTTTTAAAACTCAATTTAAAAACCTTTTGTTACATGCCAGCACTTATTTGGTTATTTTGTTTATTTTTGTGTCTCATCATGTGTTTCTGTTTGTCACCCAGTCCACTTCTGTGCTTGCTCCGCCTACAGTCATCTCTGATTGGCTGTTTCACTTGTTCTTGCTGCAACCAATCCCATCTCTCCAGCCACCTGATTGGTCACCACTCTGCCCAAGCTCCAGCCAATCCCTGCATGCCACCTGGCCTTTAAAAGCACTTCAGTTTGCACAATTTATGTGCAACCCCACTACCCTAGACAAAAAGGGGTTGCAACACCTTTACATACTTAAAACCCAGTATTTAAAATTCTAATGGCACTCGGCACAAAGGACACTTGATACACATTTTTTATTACTTGAGGTTGCCTAAAATGTCTTTTTGATGGCAAGAGCTGAAATTTGATATTCAAAAGATTGGGACAATCCTCAACAATAATGTGTGCTTTCTGTTTAATTCTCACTGAATAAATTTCATTTGGTTGTCTTTGTGCTTTACCTACAACTGCACTTCCAATTTTTACCACTCGACACAGTTTTTGCTTTTCCTTAATTTTCAACAGTCCATACCATGCAGTCATGTTAAAACTCACAAACCTTTCAACCAAGTTCTTGTATACCATCTCCAGAACAGTTTAACTCGCACCAAATTGTTGTTTAGCCTACCCAATTCACCTGTACCGCACGTCTTTGGACTGTTGGGGAAACCGGAGCACCCGGATGAAACCCACGTGAACGCAGGGAGAACATGCAAACTCCACACAGAAACGCCGAGACTCGAACCAGCGACCTTCTTGCTATGAGGTGACAGCACTGCCTACTGCATCACCATTAAATCATAACAGTAACATTGTTTTATAAGTTTTGATTTTGAAAGCTGAAAACCTGTAACCATTGACTTTATTAGTATTTGTTTTTCCAACAATGGAAGTTAATGGTTACAGGTTTTCAGTTTTTTTACAGTTTTTCTCAGTCGCTTTGGTTCGTTTCTCACAACACCAGAGCATTTCTGCATAACAGTTAATGCATTTCTCAAAACAATTGGTACAAACTGCAAAACCTAGCTGATAACCTGCAAAAGAGTGTCACATGCTCAAAATGGATAGTTTATTCCTCAAAAGCAAGTATTGATGTCAATCAAAGCGTCAGTGTCATCAAAATGAAAAGTCCTGACACCATTATTTATGAACAAGACAGTCAAATGACTTAGTCATGTTTTCATTATGACAGTTTACTCTGTACATTTTTTCAATGCAAAAAAGTCATATTTTGTTGAAACTTCCTGAAAATGCTCAAGATAGTACTATATACTATTAGCACAGCAAATTAAAAAATACAACAAAGTTAGACATCACTGCATTTTGTAAGTGTATCCGAGTACAAGACACTGAATTTGTATTTTTCACATTTTTTCTGCATTTGCTCTTTACAATTAGATTTTTTTCACAGCGTTGTGCAGAAGAATAAATACACCCTTATTTACAACTAACATAAACTTTCTTTAGGTAGAACAACTGGAAACAATATTGCAGAACATATTGGAACTGAACCAACATACATAAACAGGTCTGTAAATCATTCATGAAACAATTTTAAAGACATTTTCAGGAAAATAAAGATTTAAATTTGTTTTATAAAATTTGCTTGACAGATTTTGACAACTAGTTCATCATTTTTGTATGTAATGACTCCAGTAATAAAATGAGGACTATTAGTTTTATATTGAATGACTATTCAGCATTTACAAGTTTGGTTAATTTTGACTAACATGACAGAAGCAAATGATAATGTTATAAAACACCAGAGAGTTGTAGGAAAGCAATTGATGCATGTCTAAAAGCATTCGCAATTTGCTGAAAGGAATGAGAAACTGCTACTAGGATGTGCACAAATTACTAATTGTTTTGAGAAATGCATGACCTGTTGTGCAAATGTAAATAGTGTAGTGAGAAATGCACCAAAGCAACTGAGAAAAACTGTAATATCATCATTTTTAAAACAATGTTAAGTTTTTAAACAATGCTTCTGTTGAAATATTCCTCAGATTTCTTGAATTCTGAAGTTTCTGATCATTTTGGGAACAACACATTGTTAAAGAAATGACTTTCAAAACTTGCTCATCTCACAAAAGTGAAGTTCTGCCTATTTTCGGTCAGAAATGTGTCACATTATGAAAGTTGGATGAGTTGAGTGAACACACGGTGAACATCATCATTGGTGTGAAATCAAGCGTCCGCCGGATCCTCCTCTTTTTCTCCATATAATCCGATCAGCTGCAAATGATCAGCGCTCAAAGACGAGACGTGAAAGGATGGCCTAATTCTCTCTCTTCCTCCCTCTCTCTCTCTCTCTCCCTGGTGAGATAATGTTCAGATCAGAGCATGACCAACATCTGCAGTCCATCGCTCCTCATGCAGCTGTGCTTTCTTTACCAAAACCTGCCCGGGAGAAAGTCACCAGCTCATGAAGACTATTACAGCACTGCTGAGTCAGAGAATAACAACAACCTTCCTAAAACACACACACACATACTCACTCACACACACACTGAACACTGCATAGTTTTCAAGTTCTAGAGGAAACTTGTTGTTGATTTCGGCTTGCCAAACTTGACTCTTTTTGTCTGAACTTGTTCTCTCTTAAATCGAATTAAATGATTTTTAAAGCCTGAGGTAAAAGCACAGCTCTGTGTGAAGGGCAAGGTGGCATTATCTCCAACAGGGAAATCAATGGCGACTCTGCAGTGGATTTACAACAGAACAGCAGAATATCAAGCTTTCCAAGAAACTGCGAGAACAACTTCAAGTTGAAGAGAGAGTTTTCAGTATATATAAATGTTCTGTACTGCAACCTCAAATAACTACAGTAGAAAATGAGTGTAATATATAGACTTTAACATATTAGTCAGAAAAAAAAAAATCACATTTTTGGATTTTAAACCATTGTTCTGAATCTGACAACATGGAAATTACTGTCTGATTACGGTTTATTACAAACCAATATATCACGTGCTAGGATGACATTGTGGCTCAGTGGTTAGCACTGTCACCTCACAGCAAAAAGGTCACTGGTTCGAGTCCTGGCTGGGTCAGTTGGCATTTCTGTGTGGAGTTTGCATGTTCACCCCGTTTTGGTGAGGGTTTACCCCGGGTGCTCCGGATTCCCCTACAGTCTAAACACATGCGCTACGGGGGAATTGGGTGGACTAAATTGGCCGCAGTGTATAAGTGTGTGTGAATGTGAGAGTGTATGGGTGTCAATCATATGCTGGATAAGTTGGCAGTTCATTCCGCTGTGGTGACCCCCAATTAATAACAGACTGAGCTGAAGGAAAATGAATGAATGAATTATTATCATGTGCTGGTTACAGTCTTGATCACTACATCTTTAGGTTTGTGCTTTCATAAACTACAGTTCAAATATTTATTGTTGGTAAGAATTTCTGATGTTTTAAATCATTTATTTGATTTAATTACTCATTCATTCATTTTCTTTTCGCTTAGTCCCTTTATTAATCGGGGGTGTCCACAGTGGAATGAACCGCCAAGTTATCCAGCACGTTTTTACGCAGCGGATAACCCATCTCTGGGAAACATACACATACACATTTACACGCATACACTACGGACAATTTAGCCTACCCTATTCACCTGTACCACATGTTTTTGAACTGTGGGGAGAACCAGAGCATCGGAGGAAATCCATGGGAACGCAGGGAGAACATGAAAACAACACAAAAACGCCAGCTGACCCAACTGAGGCTCAAACCAGTGACCTTCTTGCTGTGAGGCGACAGCACTACCTACTGCACCACTGCAATACTTATTCAGTATTAACATCTGAATAACATAAAATACATTCAGCAACTGAATACAATAAATATACTACAGAAATCTAAGCCTTTTAAAGATGTTTTAATGTGTTGCAACAACTGTGGGAATTTTATAAAAAATCTGCAGCACATTTTCATTAAAAGGAACATCTAATACCTTCCAGAGAGCAGCAAACGCAAGATCTTCTCCATTAAATGAATCAATAACGTTCCTTAAACATTAAACCGAAGGGGTGGATGAAGACCATGTGTGTGTGTGTGTGTCTGTGTGTGTGTGTATGCTTCGTAATGGCAGATTTATTCATTTAGCACATGCATTTATTCAAATCAGTTTACAACTGAGGGAAAATACAAACAGATTAATCATTAGGAGTCAGAAAAAAACCTAAAAAGAAACTTCTAGAAGCAGCATGAGAATTACATTCAGAATTTACAAAAAAAAAAAAAAGAAAACTTTTAACAGCCCTAAAATCACCAACGAGACCCACATGTAAATAAACTGTCATTATTTATAAGCTTTATACTAAGAAAATGCAATCTCATCGTGGTTTGGTTTTGGTTTGGCTGGGTATGATTTGATTTGATTTAATTTAATTTGGTCTGGGTGTGGTTTGGATGGGTATGATGTGATTTGGTTTGAAATTGGTTTGGGTTGGTTTGGCTGGGTATGGTTTGGTTGGGTTGGGTTTGGTTTGGGTGTGGT